GAGTTAATTCTCACCCACATTTCTGTGGTCTGTTGTGCTTCCGTTTCACCATTAGTCCAAGTGTTTGCATCCTGCATGCTATTAGGTCTTTGGCTTTCCCTTCTGAGATTCCTTTTGGTGTGATACGGAAGAGATGTGGAGTGTGTAGTGGCTCTTTAAGTTCAGTTGGGAAAGAATGAGGGAATATAGGTTTCAAGAGATGGATTTCATAGAAGTTACTTTTCACAATCTCCCTTCTGTGCAGAGAGAAAATGTGAGTGAAGTTGTGTGCACATAGGTGTAAACATTGCAGTTCTGCATAACACCTCATATTTGGTGCTCCTCTGTCTACGATGAACGCTTCAGAGAAATGAACCTCCGAGCATCTGCAAATGTCCTAGTAGTTTAAACAGTGATGCAAGAGACAGTGGTGGCTGCTGCAGTTCCAGAACAGAAAGTTTTGAGCTCAGTTACACTCTGCAAACGGTACCTATATACGGAAAGGAATACRCTGTTCATAAAGGAGAATGGAGTTTTTACATATGGGAAGAAGTTTCAGGTCTTAAAAAAAAGAAATGGCCTCAGTTGCAGCAATCTTACCTTTCTTTGTTGGTGAACGTGTTCTTTTGTGAAGACATTTTATTTTGCTAATATTTTCATCCTATTATTAAAAATATCCTTCATATCATCCTATGTTAGTCATTTGTATATTCAAGTGACTCTTTGGGGCTTGTCTTACATGTTCAAGAAACACTTATTTAAAATGGTGGTCTTAGATCTTTATATTCTGCTTGTGTACAGAGTCCCATAGAGACATCTCTGGGAGCAATACAGATAAAAATAAAAGACAAATGTTCCAGAGACACAAAAGATTATAAATGGGTTAAACCTAAATGCTGAGGACAGTGATGTGAATCCTGGAGTTGAATTATCCCAGTGGGGACCACAGGCTGCAKTGATATCCCTTAGAAGAGAGAATTACTTATGAATGCACAAGTCTGCCCATTTAGAAGCTGCAATAGGATTGAGGCATTAGGCTTCTCATTTTCAGTGACTTAACAAATAAAAATATTTCTTCTAATGTATTTCTTTATTTAGTATTGATTTCAGGTATTTGTAGCTGGTTCAGAGTTGCACAGAATGGGATTTTATCCAAGCGTAGTAGCCTATCTAGGCTKCTGTATCACATTGCTACTCCCTGCCTCCTGCCTTATGGTAGTGATGAAGTGAGGACTGGACAAGATTCACATAGGTTCATCATATATATTTTGTATRTTATATGATTACTGAGTTAAAGGATTTAAAGTGTAATATCCTTCTTCAAGCTATGTGCTCAACGTGAGAATTGCCCTACTGTGAAGCAGATTGGTAGAATATTTAGAGTATAAATACTCTACAGAAGATTTATGTTGTGTGGTTTGATTTAAATTGAGGCTTTTCAGTTATATGTCATGTTATGCCTCAGTTTAGACTTAAATATTGCTTTTGTTTGGTTTTTTGCCTGGAAGATATTGTGTGGTATTTCCAGGGACTGGACCTTGAAGAAAAGTGTCTTTAGAAAATCTTTGCTCAAAAAACGTTGGGAAGTAGTAGCAATATGATTATTCGTAAAGGTTGCTTTTATATTGCTTCTCCCATTAATTTTGGCAGAATAAGTGTATATTAGATGTTGATTTGCACATRTAATAATGATGATGCTAAAATTGCAAATACTTTAAAGTCCTAAATTTATTTCAAAGGCCCTGATAAATTTACAGGGCACTGTTTTYGTGTTTGCAAGCAAGTAAAAATTAGATTCACTGCTCCATCTGCTGGTGTTCAAGAACATCCTCAGGAATTGCTTTGTGCACTTCAGCACAGTTCTGTGAGCTTTGTGAGTTTTGAGTTTTGGTTCTTTTTTTTTTCTCTAACAGAAGTTGAATTGAAAAATACCAGTTTTCTTTTTTCCTTTTTTTTTTTTTTTCCTGCAGTTGGTGAATTAGTGGAGTGGATTTTTCAATAGACATTGACCTAAGATTTTCATCATSTTTTAAAGCCATGCAAATCTTTACTGTCCTGAACCCAAGATAGCTGTTTGTAGTAAATCAATACAGCAGTATTTTAAATACGAAGCATTTTGTAAAAATATGTGTCCTATTCATTTATGTCTTTTTGTACTATGAGGACTTTTGGAGTCAAGACCAAGGACTAGTATTCTGTAACATGAGGTTCTTAGGATCTCCTGCGTGGCTAAGGAATAAACTCCTTATTCTTATTATTTCCTTATTATTTAAGGAATATTTCCTTAAATATTATTTAGGAAATAATAAGGAATTATCCTTATTATTTAAGGAATAAACTCCTTAAATAAATGTTTTAAACACTCAGCCTCTTTGTGTTCTCCTGCTTTCAAGCACATGAATTGGAGACGCTTTCCAGATTGATCGGAGGTTTGGTTTTGGTTTATGTAGTATTTGCATTTTTGGAACATCTTGGAGCAAGGCAAAGTGAAAAGAGACAATTTCCATTAGAATTGTTCCTTGACATGATAGTAAGCAGGAAAATACTTTGTTCATGCTTTGCCTGCTCATATATGATCGTTTATAGTCTCCCCTGCAATAAGAATCAAAATGAATTGAGGATCTTAATTTTCTTTTTTCTTTCTTTTTTTTTTTTTTTTCCCTGCATTGCAACTAGAATTGTCATTTTAACTCAATGCCAAGCTTGGTTGCTTTTATGCTATCCTATATATACAAATGACTGTTCATCTATGTCTACATTTATGTGTACATGGATGTGTTCTGTTTCTTGGAGAAATGTTTTCTGATAGCCATGCTGTATCTAGAAAGACTATTTTAATAATTTAAAACAGGATCACTTGGGCCACGCTAAGCGTGAGCCAGTTGTTAGGAGTAAACTCATTTTGTCCTCTAGGTGGAGCCTTTTTATATACAGAGAAATTTGGTCTGAGTCTATAGCAATTTAGTGTTTATTAAAAATATTTTGCTTATCTATCATAGTTGTGAAATTGCATTATAAAATCTCCATTCACAATAATGTTCTGATGCCTTCTTAAAATACAAGTGGAAATATTCACAATTTCTGAATGAATATTTTTGTCGTGTGTATATATATGCACCTATCTGTGTAGACCTGCGTGCCTCCAAGCACAACATACGCCAACCAAGAAACACTTTGTATCCCGAAGGGATTCAGCATTGGGGATGGGGGCAGTCGCATGAGACTTTCTCAAGCCCATTTTCAGTAGCTTGATTTAGGGGCACATCAAAAAGCTGGTATAATATAAGTCCATATGTGAGTTMCCGGGTTCTCAGTTTGTGTATATTATTGTCTGTGCTTTTGTTCTTGGATTATTTTAAGTGAGACCTACTTAATCATAGAAGTGGGACGTCCTGCCTTGTCATTAGCTGATGGACTTAACACTTATTATGATAACTTGCATGCATACCTGTGCCCTCTGCGTTATCCTTGTAGGAGTGAAATTTTTGTTTCAGTGGCTGAATCTCAGTGTTGCCTAGCTCAGATCTTAACTTGTCATCGAATGTCCCCAATTTCAGGCTTTTCTCAAGCTGTATMTCTTACTTTAAGCTCCGAAATTGCTTATTGATTCCAGGGTCTTGTGAATCCTCTTCTGTTGAGACTGCTTGGCAATCAGTGCATGTTCAGAGTGGAGCTGCACTAGGTTTTTAAAACTTTTAACAGAGCAGAAATTGCAGCCCAATGTCTAAGCAAAACTGATGTTTTCTATGCTTATTCATTTCTCTTTCCCTTTTAATATAGTARTATTAGTCCTTAAATATATTTCTTACATATAGTATTATTCCTTGAATGCTCCATTCCTGTTTTAAACATATACACATGCAATCATTCTCTCCCTACATACACAGTGTTCATAGATATCTGCATATTGTAGCTGCATAAAGAATAATAAATTGGTGAAGATGTGTTTCTCATTTGAAGCTTGTTTAGATTAAGGACTTCATTTAATTGCAGTATGCTAAACACGTACAGTTCATGGAGTTGCACTTGGTCATTATACCTGTAGCTTTTCTTGTTCTCATGGTTACGTGTTGTACATCTTTATTGCTTTGCTTGTGGTCCTAACTGTCCTAGCTCTAGTTCACTATAACAAGAACGAAAAAAAAGATAAATCTAGTATATGCTTTCTAGACATGAGTTTGCCTCCAGCATATCTACTCTCCTCATCAGATGTTGTTGCCTAAATATTTCTAAAAARTGTCAGGTGTTTACTAATTTCAAACTGCAGAAATAATTAATTCTTTTTTGTAGGAACAAAAGTAGACTGCAGGGTTGTTTCAGAGAAGTGTTGAAAGAAAACCTTAGTGTTCAAATCTAGAAATGCAATCATACTTTGGAACAGTAAATGTTCAGAACTTAAAATTCCCTAGGAATTTGTGGTGTTACATGCTTGAGCTTGTCTGCAGCAGTAGCATTTTCTCTCCTGTGAGGYTCTTTAGTCAGAGAGGAAGCTAAGGGATTTAAAAACCCAGTTCGTTWCAAAGTTCAGAGAACTGACATACTTATATACTGGGGTGATACTTAAATCCTGTCTTTTCTTGCAAAAATTTGAGTATTTGAGAAGCCAAAATAAAATTTAGCTTGATTCAGGTCATGGAAAAGCAGTAGCTGGTTCTCAGGCACCTTTCAGTTTGCTTGCAGTTGACTTGCCCCAAGAACTTAAAGGACATTGGGGTGTTGTGATTGTACAACTGCTGGCGTGCAGATTTTATACTATCGCCCAGTATAGTCTGCATTGTATGTTATGTAATGTTGTATATCTCACATAGAGACTATGTCTGGAGCATCTTTTGTTTGACTGCCGGGTTTTCAGGGCTACAAGCTTACAGTCACTTGGGTGTTCTGAAGACTCTCCATAATATTTTTAAAATAATTGCAACTGTACTTAAAAATGGTATTTATGTCCCACGTGTTTAGGTTGACTTAAAGCCTGTTCCCCTAGAATTCAGAGCTTAATCGTTCTCATCTCTTTCTTGTCCTAGATTAGTTTGTTGGCTGCCAAGAGCCACAAACACTTCAGGCCCTGATGGGGGACTCGGGATCCAGAAGGTCGACTCTCGTATCTCGGTTGCCAATATTCCGCAGGAGCATTAGCCGCAGGCACGAYTCTCTTCCGTCCTCACCTTCCTCTGTTAATACTGTTGGTGTCCACACGTCCTCTCCCTCCAGCACTAACTCCAGCTCAGGGAGCACGGGCAAGCGCCGCAGTATATTCCGTACTCCGTCCATTAGCTTCCATAACAGGAAGGGGAGTGAGCAGAAGTCTGACTCGGCTGGCGAAAATGTTAACATCTCCAATGGTGCCCAGTCTTCTCTCAGCGGTTTTCAAAAACTGAACCTAGAGGAACACGTTAAAAGCCGAGGGAGACATTCGGTTAGCTTTGGCAGCTCACGTAGCAAGAAGATAACAAGGTCTTTGACAGATGATTTTGAAAAGGGAAAAGAACCCTCAACTAATAAGAATGTCTTTATAAATTGTATAAGTTCTGGGAAAAATGAGGGTGATGATTCTGGCTTTGTGGAGGAGCAAAGTCGATACTCCGTCAAACAATCCACACGAAAACTTCTCCCCAAATCTTTTTCCTCACACTACAAATTCTCCAAGCCAGTTGCGCAGAGTCAGTCAGTCTCGTGCGTGCAACAGCCTGGATGCCTGTTAGAGATTAAATCATACGCGGACAGCGAACCTGTAATGGGGAAGCCCTCCCCTCCGTGCTCCGCTGAGACAACAGACTGCGCAGGCAGCTCGCTGCAGTCTCCGCTGCTTTCGACCGACCTCACGACGGCCCAGACGCCCTCAGAGTTTGTAGCCCTGACGGAGGACTCTGTTTCGGAAGTCGAAGCACTGCCGGGCAGTGGAAATGGAGTGCTGCTCACGGAGGATTTTGGCCACAGTGTCTCTACCTCTCAAATCTTCTCTAATTCTGCTGTTGCTGCTCACGTGAGGAGGGCTGATCATGGGGAAAATAGCTGCCAGTGTGCTGGTGCATCTCCTGTGAGTCATGGGAGCTTATGTAGCATTGAATCCAACACCTTCTGCAAAACCTCCGCTGCTAATCACACYCAAGTATTACTGCAAGCCAATGAACTACCTGCTAAAGATTCCCAGCACACAAGAGAAATTAACTCRGCAAATGCAAGTTTAGACAGATGTGCATTATACCACAGAGAGGTACCAGAGATGCGCTCTCCAAAAGCACGGAGGTTAAGTGGGCACCAAGATGAAAGAACCCCGTCTAAGTATGCAAGAGAAACGAATCCTGCGATGGAGTCTGTGTCATACTCAGAACCTCAGTCCTTTAAAACAGGAAAGGGCTTTGAAATAAACCATTCTAAAGGTATGTCTTTTGGGGGTGGGTAGAGGGGCTTAGTTCTTCTGTAGAGGTTGTTTAGTCACAAAATGTTTTTTGTTGTTGTTTTGTTTTTTTATTGTTAGTGCTATAAATTCTGAATTATATTTTCCCCATATCAGATTTAAGTCAAAATTATAAAAGGGAGAGAAACAAAAGCCAGTTTGTTTTCTGAGGTCATATCTTGGGCTTTAATAACCTGTTGATACTGTTGGTGGGATTTTTTGAGACATGCCTATTATAGAATCACGCCTAAGGGTTATGTTATTTGAGACAGAAGCATGACCAGGGAAATAAGCCTCCTTTTATAGCCTATTCCTGAAAGATAACACAGGTAATATAATGTTGGTCTGGGTTTCAAAAATTTTTAACTTGGACTTGCTGTTTCCAAACTGTATTACAGAACAACTTAAAATGAGTGTTACTGTCACAGATAACTGGTTTCTGTTTCCACCTGAAATAAAGTTGTGCAAGTTTTAATTACGTAGTCTGTGAAATGGAAAGAGTTAATTTTCACTGGATGTTCATATCGAATCCTTGCTTTATTAAACCTGGTTTGAAGTGTTTGGAAATAGTAACAAGATTAGGTGGAAAAGCAGTGTCTAGAAATGACAACGTGGAGAGCTTAAGTTGAAAGAAGGCACCTGGCCTTTGAATGAAGGACACAGTTTAGATGACTTGTAGCTGTAATAATTTTTCTAAAAGCAGCCCTGAAGAGTGGTGCACCTTTTGTTTAGTCCCACATGTGCTTCTGGGTGTACCCAAATTTGTGAGAATTAGCAAAACTGCCCTTACAGTGTTAGCATTATGAGTGTAAATTCATAAAATTTAACATSCTTTCTTTTGCTCTGACATTTAGGTATGTAGCCTGTATATGTATGTATTTCTGTATAGAATCCTGCCTTTTGAGTTGTTTGTACCTGCACAGATACCTCATACATCAATGGATATCTCATARATAAATGACAATGAACTTGAATTAATCCACCAAATGAGCTTTCATGAGAAGATCTCTTCATTTCAGAGACTTAATCAATTGGAAAAAAAATATTTCTCTTTGTTATCTGTCCTGAATGCCTGAAATGTTTTTTGGTCTTCCTTGCAAAGTTAGCTCCTTTTTGAATGGAATCATTCTGACCCTGACTTAGAATGGCAATGCAGAATGATAYGGGAGTAGCTCTCCCCCATGACCTTTAGAAAAGGAATAAGCAGTGCATTGCCAACTCATGCCTGAGCAGAAGGTGTATGTTGTATCTGTACATCTGGAAGACAGCACATGGGAGCAGAATAGAGAGACTTCTGTAAATAGGGCTTGTGTTCACAGAGCCATTAGTGATAATGCTGCACTATGTACAAATCTGTTACTACTTTTCATGGTATTATAGTCYTGATCAAAACACATTTCTCTTCCCTTTCTTTCTGCTGTAGTGAAAAATATATTTAATATTAGGACCTGGACTGTAGAAAGCAACTATTAAAATAGACATAAAATCTAGTCATATATGAAATGAAGCAATACAGAAAGATATTAAAGGATATGCAATAATATAGGCTATAAGTAATTGTATCTATCGTAAACAGACTGCTCTAGAGGAATTTTTAGTACATTTGGTTGTGCTAAACAATGTTTAAGACCAAATGTGAAACCAAAAATATTTCCATYTTTTTCTTCTTTTTGTAATAGATATTTTCACTGTCACAGCTGATCTCTTTGCAGATTTCATTGTAGGTAAGCCAATGAACTTGACGTTAGTGTATGAGCAGGTATGACAAGTCATATTTCTTAATATTCATTTAGAAGCTTCTGTGTGATATAGAATTTTTCAAAAGCCTTAGAAAAATGTCTCCTCTCTCCAATTAAAGATAAGATACAAATTCTGTTTTTCCTCTTTCCCAGTGTGTGGATTAATGGTAGTTGGGAAGTGGRATTCAGCCTGCTGGCTGCAGGAGAGCACTCATCTGGGCTGACCTAGGATTCCAAGGCTGCACAAAAGCTGAGATCAATGAGTTTCACTGCCTTATGCAGTGATAATGTCASGCTTGGCCCTGTGTGACTTGGAGTTGCTTTTAGACAAAGGATAGTGCAGATAGTTTCTCTGTTGGATTTTACTGGGCAGCAGTTTGGAAGTGTCCTAGAAAGAAAGGAATGGAGTGAAGGTCCTGCTGGATTCCTTAAAGAAGTGGACTGTGAAGGCCACCAAGAGGAAATTGCTATGGTGGCTTTAAGTTGCACTTACATTTAATAAACTGAATTCTCTTTTTCCAAATCACCTTGATAATTATTGCTGCAACACTGCTAACTGTTTCTGCTCAATGTAAGATTTTTGAGCAGAGTGGTGTTCTGTGTAAGTATTTGTACAAAATAGTTTTCTCTGGTAATAGCTGATTGCTTCTTTGTCCCCAGTTGATCTTGCCAATAGCTTCAGCCCGTACCGAGACGGCCGATTTGTTGAGAAGCGGCTCCGATCCTCTTCAGAAGGCACAGCTGGAAGCAGTCGGCTGATCATAAAGCCAAAGGATGGAAACACAGAAGAGCTGAACAGTCTACGAAAGCAGAGGACAAGCTCATCTTCCTCAAAAATGAACAGCATGGTGAGTTTATTCTCATATGTAAATGTTTTTCTGTGATGAATGTAACTATAATAAGCAGTAATATTACAAGTAATATGTGGAAATACAAAAGACGGGCCCAGGCTCAGAAAATTTAGTCCAAGCTCAGGTACAGAAGCGAAAGGGTTTTTTTCTTCTTTTTTTTTTTTTTTTCTTTTTTTTCTTCTTCCCAGATTGTAGTCATGTCAGAAGGTTTGTATACTGTCTTTGTAAAGGTTCTTCAAATTGCACTTGAATTTGTCTGGGAATAAGCGTAAAGGGGAGTTAAATGTAACAGTTCGGGCGTGACCGCTTCTGTGGTTCAGTATAGAGCACCTATTTCCCACTTGTGTGCAGCCTTCTCAGTGTTACTATATTGTTTCACTGCTGATATTAATCAGGGGACATTAAGACCAAAGTTTATAAACAAAGTTGCTTGCAATGAGGCTAATTTCAAAAGGACCAATTATGCCCTTAAGAATTGGTCCCTAGAGTATGATATGAAATTTCTATTTTGTCACGGTAAATCTCCCCCATGTGTCTAAAAGCATCATGTAAAGATCCCTTGTGGCTGAGCTCAAAAGTGCCTTTTAGGATGGCAGAGGAACAATTATGCCAGTAATGAGGGTATTTTTATCATGTTTGGCCAGTTTTATGCAGGCTTGCCWCTGTGCTGGAGCCCTTGAGCAATGGTCACTGCAGGAATAATTGAGTTATTTGGTTCAGTTGCTCTGGAGTTGCTGGTTAGGTGCCACCTGTTCAGAATGGATTACCTGCACTTGAATGGCAGGATTATTTTTTTCTTGGTATCAGAATTTTCAATTTTATTAGTATTGCCTAGTTAGTTTTACAGTGGTCATTCAGCTRGCAAGCAAGTAAATTGTGAGGAGAAATTCTTGTCCATCTCCTTTGCTTTTGTAGATGATGCTGACTTCTTGGATGATTCAGCACAGAAATGCAAAGTTTATGTCCTTTTTTTTTACCTCARAATTATAATAGCCAGAGATATTAGGTAGCTAAATAGAAGAAAAAAATGTAGTGAAATTAATGCATATAGTTACAGCATATTTCTCTATTGTTACATGTCCAAATATGAGTGAATATCCTAATGTCAATGAGTAATACCTTGTTTTTCAAAACCACAGTATCTTGACATTTAAAGATGCTGTTTCCATGTAGGCATATAGAACATTAMGTAGATGTATTTCCTGACCTAGAAAGCCACTTAACCTTGGTTCAAGCCTGTACAACTTACTTGGGTCATTAGGCCTAACTATTAGGCAGATGTTTGGTTTTGTTTAAATAATTGGCTAGAATCATGCCTTAGCACTTAATTCCATTTAGCTCTGTATTGATGATACARCTGAGAAGCTAACAATGTCATTGCTATCAATTCTGTAAAAACAGAGGGAGGAGGAGTGGTTGTGATTTGGAACTTATTTCCTTTCTTTATTTTTGGCTATGAAATCTACTTCATTTTTTTCTTTCTGTTAGTAAACTTATTGACAGATTTATTCTTGMTTGCCCCTGAATATTTGTATTACAGTCACAGACCTTTCAAATCACAGAACTTTCCCATCAGCTGTAGGTTTGCGGTAGATAGTCATAAAGGAAAATAAAATTATTCCAGAGTTTCCCAATGCCTAAGGTGATCATCTTTATATGTTAGGAAAAATGTTAGATGAAAACTTAAGTCTTTAGAAAAGAGGAAGAAGTGCAGGGGTGGAGCATAAGACAAGCATGGGCAGAGATTCCTGGAAGAGAAGGAAATTACWAACTGAAAAAATATGGATGTTCCTAACACTGCATATCTGAACAAAAAAAATTGCTTCAGAGTAGATGTCACARACAAATAATGTTTAATTTGTATCTGACACTACTGACCATTACCATTGTATAATCATAATGGAGAATAACTGTATGCTAGATAAGGAAGAATTGTATCTGCTACCCTAAAAATATTATAAAAAGAATTCAACACCTAATCTACTCTTGTTCAACAATTCTTTATATATTAGCAATTTAGGAACTTCTTTATGCGCCTAAAAAGCCCTCAGKCCCTCTCCTCTTTGGGTATTTGTATTCATTCTTTTTAGTTTAGAATGAGAATAACTGAAGATGCTCAAATGATTGCAAGTTCACATGAGATTGCTYAGTCTTCCCTGGCGAGGGCAGCATTGCTTTTTGGTTTTATTCTGTGGCACCAAGTGGTAGTAGCCACAGTTGCCAGTTGTCTCATGTCATTCGGAAGTCGTGTTGCCCTGAAGCAGCATTGGAACTTGCATGATATCCTTTCTGCACAAATGCAAAGAAGGTCCTCCAAGGCTATCTGCTCTTTATCTTTGTTGCTGGCAAGCAGTGTGGGATTCTTTTACTGAGTGGCTAGAGAGCAAGAGGCGGAAGAACAGAGGAAAAGCTAGAATTTTACAGGATATGGGGGGGGGATAGAAATTAGCACTTGAGAAACTTGTATTCCTGCTAAACATCTCTCAGAACATAGTGTTCTTATGTGACTGGCAGTGCTGTTTCCTAAGACATAAAACATTGGCTATGTGGATCTTCTGAATGCTGAGAATGTAAATCTAATTTGCAAAGAGGGGTCACCAGCTCCACAAAGGGAGTAAGTTCATTTTTGAGAGACTGCAAGGAATTTAGAAACGAGACAAGATMAATGCTTTTAAAATGAAGATGTAGGGAGGAAAATAAAACGTTTCAAAATAAATCAATCTGCGCAAATGGGGACACCTCACGGCAATGGCAATACAGAAGTGAACTGCAACAAACTCATCAGATAAACTGCTCAGATTGCTGTTTTTATGTGTTTTTAATTGGAGTACATATTTTGAGGCAGTTCTTGTAATGACTGATTTATGCCACAAGATGTCAACATTTGAGWAAAAGTAGTTGTAGACTTCGGTATTACAGAGTAATGCAAAAGATAAAAACTGAAATTCAGGACATGTCTTTGGAACAGTTAAATATTGATTGGCCTCTGCAAAGTAATAGAGCCTTTTCAAATAAACGTGGTAGAAACTGATGCAAATTTAAAGGGCTCTGTACAGCCACAGAAAGGCTGTTCGTTAAAATGTTCAAACCATTAAGTTGACTTTTACGACTTGGAATATTTAGRCATCGAGACTAGTTAAGTCTCCATGGCTGGTAGGAGTGGCAGAGGCTATGGCTGAGCTCTCTGTTCTCCACTCAGATTCTTCTTCCTTCTCCATGTATAAAACAGGCAAAAAGAAAGTAGAAATGCAGAAATAAATAAGACAACATGGTAAGAGAATGACCTGAAGTATGCAACACTGCAAATGTGCAAAACCAATGAGAAGTTCGTATGCCCTGTTTTTTTGATCCCCAGGAGAGAACATGAATCGCAAAAATAAAACTGAGAGTCAGACTGCAGAATTACTGCATGTAAATTTTTGAAAAGCATCAAGAGCCGTAACTTCAGGGGAAAAAATGAATAGTTGTGCTAGAACACAGAAGCAGAAGTTGAGGGGAGTTTGAGGAATAAATCTGACTGTCAGTTTTAATAGTAATGGTTGATGTGGGTTTCTACTTAATTCAATTAAGATTTCTACTTAATTCAAATTCATTTCTGCTGTGTTGGTCTTCTCAAGGGAGAATATATAGCAGCATCAATTCTACCAGGTGGCTCAAGCAGACCTGTGAGGCTGCAGTTCACCCTTCAYGTGAAACCAACTTTGAGACCCTTCCTTTATAACTTGCTCTGTAATAATGTAACAAAATGTCTTAATTTGCAAAGAACAGATTGTTTTCTGCTTTCCAGAGGAAACTGTGAAAGTCACTTAAAACAGGAACTGTTGGGTCTATTAGATTAAAAAAATGCTGAATAGTGGTATCTAAACAGGAATAAACACGTCACTGTAGGTAGGTAATACTTTGGGGCTTCATTTCCTTAATTTGGCACAGAGAAAGCTCCTTCAGGGTGCTATTAGCATAAAAAAGCTGGAAACAATGAACTGGGGTTTAAGCATTTTGTGATTTAAGCATCTGTGATTTTTTAGGTTATATTAACTAGAAGCTGTTTTTTTGTGGGAAAGAGTCTGTTGGGTAGTATACATTTTGTGGTTTATTAAAAATTAGTTAAAAATTAGATTGGAGTCATTACATTCATTCTTGAGATGCAGCTAAAAGAAATTAGGTACTTAAATGCTTATGCTTGAATGTATATGATACGGTTCCATAAGGACATGATCATTGAAATGTGTAAAAGGGTAAACAAGAGTTTTAACATCAATGTGGTTTTTCAAATTTAATACATTTATGTTAATACAGGTAGAAGGTGAGTTGAGTTATAAATAGCTGTTATAAATCTCAGAGCAAACATGGTAGTGCTGCAAAATGAAAACACTACAAACAGGCTGATCCCTGGAAGAGAGCTCTGTGGAGGGTAACTGGTAAGGCAAGCCATATTAGGCCTAGGGGAAGGGGAAAATCACTCAGCAGCTGGGACAGTGCTTGGGTAAGTAACATATCTGCTTGTTCTTGCTTTGTACTTAGTTTGGTGTCTGTTGTGCATCCTGCTTCTTCACATTTTCATATTAGTTTCACTGAGATAATGTCGCCTCTTCCTTTTTACCCCATGCCAAGAGTAAGTAAAATGCCCAAACCAACATGAGTTTGGGGATAAAAAAAAGAAGAATGGGGTGAGGAGAGTTAAGAGTCAAAGGATAAAGGATGATGTTTGGAACAGGAATGTTTGCTGATTTGGAACTAAGTGCCTGCTATTTAATGTCATTTAATGTATTCCAAAAGTTAACCAGTGAAGAATCATGTAGGAGTCACTTGACTGACAAAATCAGCTTTGTATTTGCCTAGAAATAAATTTCCTGGCATCTTTSTTGTTGTTGTTGTTTTGGTCATAGTAGAGAAATAAAAAACTTACCAGCTTCTCCTCACAAGTCTAACCTGAAATGATTCAATTTCAAGCAATTTATCCCCAAATAAACCTTGTGAAATTTATCTCATTTCAATTA